ACATTAAACCTAACCGCTCCCCCCTCCCCACCTGGGCTTGCACCAACTGACCTTGCTGTTGCGGATGAAGTTCCGGCTGCCCAGGCTCTGGGTGCTGGGTGTCCCAGGCACCCCACCCTTCTCTGAGGAGCTATCTGACCCCTTCTCCACCATGGTACCCGGTTCCGGCTCAGGTGGGGGTCGGCTTGGCGGCAAGAGCTGAAGCCGCTTACGGAGAGATGGGGAGCTGCTTGGCGTGCTCCGGCCAGAGTGCGGGGTGGTGCTGGGGGAACAGGAAGAGAGGCATTGTGGGGAAAAACAGGCTGGGGTGGGGGGACAGGCCGGCGTGGGGGGGGGGCCCACCCATCAGCCCATTGATCCCCACCTACCCACCCTGCTCCACTTCCTAGCCATGTGACCCAGAGCAGGCCCCCTAGCTCCCCAGGCCTCGGTCAGTTCATCTGTAATCCAAGGGTGAGAAATGCATGTCCTCTTCTAGTTGTCTGGAGGGTTAAACAAATCAGTACATGTAAAGGGTTTCTAACAGAGCCTGGCACATAGTGAGCTCTCAGTCATGCCTGCTGGTCTTAAAATTAACTTATTAATGCATTCATACAATAAATATTTATTGAACAACCACTTTCCACTCAGTGGCTTGAGCTAAAAACCTAAGCGTCTCCTTCTTTCCTACTCACCCCTCATTTTTACTCTGTTAGCAAGTCCCACATGGTCCAGCTCTAAAATCTATCTCCATTATTTCTATTTGGCCCACCTCCCCCCGCTCCAGCGGCCTGGCCCAGCCTCCATGCTCCCCGCTCCTGGACGTCGCAGTAGCCTCCTCGCTGCTCAGGTCAGGGACCTCCTGGCTCAGTCCTCTCCCCCTGCATTCGACTCCAGGTGAAGGCAAGGTCCTTACCGCCTCTGCTCAGGGGCCAGTTCTCCAAGACACCTTCCCTCACCCCCTCCCTCTTCTCTCCCCCGCACATTTCAAATCCTCCCACACCAGGAGGTGCACTTCACAGGGGAAGGGAGTTCTGTTCCCAGCTGCACCCCATTGCCTAGAATGAGGCCTGGCGCACAGCAGGTACTCCGCAAGCTTTTGCCCCTGCAGACTGAATGAGTGATTGACCCTCCCCCGTGCCCCCCACCCTCCAAAGTTGGATTCCACCAAGTGTACCACTGGCCCAACCCTCCGCAGGCTGAGGCTGCTGCAGATCTCAGCTGGACCACTTCCCTGTGACCTTGGGCAAGTGCCTGAACCTTTCTGTGCCTCAGTTTCTTCTTGAGTATAATGGGGATAACAGCAGTATCCACCTCCCAGGGTTGTCTGTAGGACATACATACATAGAGCCCACCACCTGGAAGGTGCTCCGGCTGATTAGGGACTGTCAGGCTAAGATGGAACACGCAGCCCTGCCGCCACCCCAGAGCACTTGCTGCCGAGGTGCCACGCTGACCCCAGCACAAACACCTCAGCCTGGTATTTGGAGCCCAAACGGGTGCCAACCCCAGTCAGTCACCCCTAAGTGCACACGGAGCACCCACCCTGCACCAGGCACTGGGGACACAGAAGTGGGTAAGACGGACCCAACACCTGCCCGCAGGGACCTGACATTCTGATGGGGGAACAGAGACGATCAGTAAGAGATCATGTAAATAAGGATGATGATCTCAGACACTGGTCAGTGCTGTGAGGCAGCGCTGCTCACAGGGGCAGCGCCAGCAGTGCCTGGAAGCTGTCAGAAATGCAGAGTCTGGAACCTACCACAGACCTCCTGAATCAGGAAGTGTGGGTGCGGCCCAGGAGACTCTAACGCATGTTCAAGTTTGAGGACCACGGAGATAAGGAGGGCTAAGTGGGTTGGTGTGCAGGGCACACTTGAGCTGAGCCCAAAGGACAAGGAGCAGATCTGGCAAAGGGCCGGGGAAGACTGTTTTAGGCGCAGGAACGGTGAGTTCCGGCACAGGACTGAGTTTGGCAGGTCTGAGGAGGAGCGAGGTGGCCAGCGGGGCTGGGGAAGGAGGACAGGAGGCCACAGGCCCACCTGCAGGCCCTCTGGGCCCTGAGCAGGTGTTCGGGCTTCACCCTGACGGCCCTGGTGAGCTCGGGAAGGGTTTAAAGGAGGGGTGACCACATTCCTCCCCTGCCTCATCTTCCTGCCTCTCTAGCCTGAAATGCAGACCCCTCCTCCACCTATCCTACTCTCCTGCAGCCTCAGGTCTAGGGAAGGCGCCTGCAGCCAAGTCCGACACACACAGACAGGGCCCAGCCTGCGCCCCCAGATCTCGCTCCTTGGCAGGACAAAGAGGAAGTGCTCAAGCCTGACAGCCCGGAGGCTGCCCAACCAGGCAGGCTGCAGCAGAGGGAAGGGAGGAGCCCGACACGGTGACATGGCTCAGGGACTTGGAAGAGAATGGGGTTTTGTCACTGCAGACACCTCACCTCCGGTTTCCCGGGCCTAAAGAGGCCAACAACTCCCTCTGGTCAGAGAGGGGCAGAGGCCTACACAGGTGTGCACAAAAGGGAACCTCGACGTGGCTCACACACAGCCACTGTCACAGGCAAACTGCAGTTCCCCACAGTTGTAAGAAGTCTCCCGTACCCCTCAGCCCCCATACACCCTGCAGTAGTATCACAGGTATATTACAGTCACACACAAAGCCACAGAGTCTCAGCACAATCACACACAAGGACGCCACAGCCACACACAAAGTCCCAGAAGTTACACACACATGCACGTGCATGCATGCACAACACACACGCAGCTGCAGAGGGTCACCGAAACAGAAAACCATGCAAAGTCCCAGGTACATTCACACATACGGGCACAAGAAAGTCTCAGAGGAGACTTGAAAGCAAGTAACGTTCCCACAGTTACAGAGAGAGCCACACAGTGAAAGAACAGTCACAGGGGACCCCAGCTAACATGTGCACAACCCAGGTAAATGAAGTCTAGCGTCAGCTCAGCTCTCATGGCATTCCCCATCTGGAGGGGAAGCCAGAGCAAAGACCTGCTCTTACGTGGCAAGGGATGGACATGTCAGCTGCTGTCGCTGACTGACAAAGAGAGCCCTGACACTCACACAGCCATGAAGGACTTGGGAAAAATGCAGCCCCGGGAGGTCGTGGACACATCTCGACAACACAGTGGCCAGGTACTGAAATCATGCATGGGACATGCTTTATAAACTGTAACAGCGGAACAGCATCAGTTACTATTATTGCTCCGGAGAGTCAAGAGTACACCCAAGGTCTCAGGAGGGAGGGTCCCAGGCTCACTATGAGCCACAAGGGGTCTCTCTCTCACTCACACAAAGCCCCAGAGGGTCCCAGCTGCTCACATGGAAGCCCAGGCACGTACAACAATGTCATGAAGGGACACACACAGGAACTTTCACACAAAGATGGAACCAGAAATAGATAAAAGGTACAATCCCACAGGGTTTCAGTCATACTCAACGACCCCAGACACACAATAATGTCACACATGGACACACACAGGTGACTTACATTTGCACAGAGCTAACAGGGTGACTTACATTTGCACACAGAGCTAACAGGTTCAGAGGCAAATTATTAAGCACACAGAGGCAAAGGGTCATAGCAGCAAACAAAGAGCCCCTGACACATGCACACACACACTACAAAGTCACAACTGAACACACAGGCAAATTACAGTGACACTTGGAACCACAGATGGTATCCCAGATAAATTCACACACACGCACACAGCCAAGGAGGATCACAGCTGTCTGAACACTAGGAGACTTAGACACATGTACACACACTCCAAAGTCACAATCAGACATGCATAGGTCTGGCGGGATGAGATACATTACACACACACAACCACGGAAGTTCACAGCCACGCACACAAAGCCCCAGACCCACACTACAGTCACAATCAGACACACGCAGGGAGCTTACAGAAACACATGGAGCCAGATGGAATTCGAGGTAAATCACACACACACACGGAGCCAAAGAGGATCACAGCTGCCTGCACACTAGGAACACAAACACGCATACACACTTCCAAGACACCTACAATGCAAAATCTAAAATACTCTGGGCCCAGACAGAGAGTAGGTCAATTCCGTGCCCACGACCCCAGAGGATCTCACGCACGCGGTCGGCCGGCCAGCCACGCAACAGCCCCCATCCGAGCAGCCCCGGGCCCAGCAACAGATCACAACGGCGGGAGGGGGCCCAGACCGGGAGAGGCTGCTCCCGGGCTTGCCCCGGGCTCCGGGACCTGGGGGCCCGGCCGGAGGGGGCTCGTCTGCGTCCTGCCTCGACCGCAGGCCCGAAGACCTGGGTCAACCTCGCGCACACCCCTCGCCTCCCAGGCAGAGGCGAAGGAGGCCCGGGCGCTCCCGGAAGGCCGCGGTCCCCCCCGGGATGAGGCCGGGTCCCCCAGCCAAAGCCCCGCCAAGCCAACGAACCGGCCCCGGGGGCCTCCCCGCCGTCAGGGCCCATCCCCGAGCGCACCCATGGGCCCCCAACGCCTCCCTCCCCTCCCCCTGGCCGGCCCCCGGTGCACAAGCTCCCGGACCTCGGCCGCTGCCGCGCCACCCCCAGCCGAGCCCGCGGAGCCCCCTCCCCCCCGACCTCCTCCCGAACCTCCCCCGCCCCCGCCGCGGTCCTCACTCGAACATGGATGCAGAGCAGTGGGCGCGCCCAGCCGCAGGGCAGGGTCGGGCCCGGCTGAGCGTCCCCGCTGGGCAGCCGCCTCGCCTTCTTCGGCCGCCGCCCGCACCCGACCCCGCCGCCCGCAGCCCGCAGCCCGCCGCCCTCACAAAAGGCCGGGGCCGCGGGAGGCAGCCGCAGCGTCAGCTCCCCCTTCCTGCCCCCGCCCCGTCGCGTCACAGCACCGCCCCCAGCCCGCGGGAGGGAGGGGGGAGGGGAGGGACCGGCCGAGGCGGGGGGGGGCGGCGGGGCCTAGATGGAGAGAGTCAGATACCTGGAGGGAGAAAGGGGCCGCAGGGAGGCGGGAGAGCAGGAGGTGAGAGCGAGAGGGAGACCCACGGGGGGCTGGCCAAGGCGAGGGAGGGACGGCGGGGACAGAGCGAGGCCACAGGGAGAGAAACGCGAGAGGGAGAATTAGAGAGGGAGGGACGGGGCGCTGGGGCAGGAAGAGCGAGACAGAGATGGAGAGGGGCGGCTGGGACGCCAGAGCACGGAGAGAGCAAGAGAGAGGAAGAGAAACAGACAGAGGCTCTAAGGAGAGAGACAGAGAAGTGGACCGGGGAGGGGGAAAGACAGAAGGAGAAAAACACAGACTTGATTAAAACACGACACCGCCATGGCAGCTAGAGGCTTGGGCACAGGCCCGACCCGCTCCCCTGGTAGCGGGAAAGGGGTCCTCGGCTCTAGTGAGGCCCCAGGTTGGGGGCTCTCCTCACCCCCCAGACCCGGGGCGGAACCTGAGAGGTGGGGCGGAGCTGGAGGTGGGATGGAGATTCGGGGAAACGGAGGGGTTGCGGCTGTGGGTACGCAGCTGGCGGGAAGCGGGTGGGGCCCTAGGCCGCCTCCCTCTCCGCATCTCTGAACCCCCGCTGTCGGCCCCCGGAGGGCCCAGCGCCTTGGTTTCTGGGGACCCCTCTTGGTCCCAGCCCGCGTCAGCCAGCCCGAGTTAGAATCCAGCCTCCTCAAGCAAGTCACCTAGTCCTGGGGATCCCACTAACTCTGTGGTCAGGACTTTCCCACAGGACGGTGGGGGGGGTGGAGGGACTGCCCTTTTACAGAAGGGGAAGCCTGGCCTCAAAGATGGGAAGTGCCTCGCCGAGGTCACTGTTGTTGGACGCAGCCCTCCCGTGACGCCATAACCTGCGCCTGTCTCTGCAGCGGCTGCCTGAGTTATCAGCTGCCTGAGTCTGTCGGTGTCCCGGACCCGTTGTCCGAGAACAGACATGGGAGTCCCATCTCGCAGCTCCTGGCCACAGGCGCCCCAGCACAGAGACTTGCTCCCCGCTCCTCTAGGACAGGCTGTTCCTAGCTGTTGAAAAAAACTCCATTCCCATGGCTCTCCCACCCTCCAAAAAAACCCACTGTCTTCTCCATTTTGGTGGATGGCAGGCCCCAAACTTTAGCCTTTCTTGACCCTCTCTTCCCCTCACACGCACATCCAGTCTCTCAGTCGACCCTGTGGGCTCCACCCACAAAGTCTATCCAGAATCTAAACTCGGCTCCTCCACTGCCCCCACCCAGGCCCAGCCTCCATCCTCCTTCCTGGACCATCACACAGCCTCCTCCCTGGTCTCCCTGCTCCCATCCCGCCCCTACAGTCTGCTCACACACACAGCCAGAGGGAGCCTGTGAACTGGTGTCAGGTCAGGGCCCTCGGGGCTTGGAGCCCTCCTGGAGCCCCACCTCTGAGTCCCGCTGAAAGCAAAGTCCTCCCCTTGTTGCCTAAGACTCCAGTCTTCTCCTCTGGCTCCCCCTTGCTCACAGCCTCTAGCTACCCAGCCTCCCTGCTGTTCCTCTAACTCCCCAAACACATTCCTAACCCGAGGCCTTTGCACTTGCTTTGTCTCTGCAGGGAAGCTTCCCCCCTTCTTCCCGTGACTGGCTCTCAAGGTCAGATCTCAGGGTCAGATCTCAGCCAGGCCTTCCCTCCACCCTTTGTCTCACTGTTCTCTTTCTTTGTATTTCTCTTTGCCTGTTTCTTCTTTTGAAATACTTTAAATTTTTTAATTTATTTATTTCAAACAGGAAAAATACAAGAGTCATCTTGGTCCCTACCAAGCATATATGACATCAATAGATATGGACATTTTGCCATTTTTGCTTCAGATCCTTTTTCTTTTTTTTAAAGAAATAAATGATTACAGTTACAGTTACCAACTCCCCATCCCTCGTTTTTCTGTTCCTGCCCCCCAAGGTACCCCCTGCCCTGAAGTTGGTGTGTGTTCTTTCTGTACATTTTTCTGTCCTTTTTCTGCATCAAGATGCATCCACTAACAATATATCCTATTATTCAAAGTCTTCTAAAAAGATACACAGTTAGGCTCCTACTGTATCATTTTGCAACCATCATTGTTTCTGAGACTTCTCCACGTTGATACACAGAGGCCTACTTCATAAACTTTAACTCTTATCGAATGTTCATTGTTGGAAGAAACCACAATGGACATTTCTATTCAAGGCCAATGTAGTTCTTTCCTCTTTCCTCCTATAGCCTTGAACCTCCCTGTTCCTGTCTCCTTGTGCCAGAGGTAGTGTTTCTATGCAGAAGTTTTGTTTAAACTTTTTTTTTTTCCCCAA